TACTTTTTGTAGGGGCTATATTGATTGAATTACTATATTTTTAGATAAAAAATTTATTCTTGGATACTTAAGAAACATTTTTAATACTAACAAATACAAAATGCATCGTACACAGCGTAGAGATTTGTCTTGTATTATTGTAGTTTAATAACTTTTATTACTGTCTTATACTAAGTAATTTGGCCAGAAAGGCTGCTTATAGATCACTTGATGAAATACTGGATTCATTCCAACTCTGTTTTACCTATATCGCTACCGTGGTCACTATTTCGATATTACTGTATGGGCAATAAAATACGAATTTACTGCATTATCTATAAGTAGGAAGTAAAAATATTGTATTTATAATTCATCTTTTGTAGCCTACGGCAGTAACAGAACATTGACTATATTTAGTCATCGCTATTAAATCACTATGATCCTATGATAAAAATAAATATTACTAAAGTTCTTTTTAATTAATCGGAAGTATAATATATAAGACGGAAATTTCGGATTTTTCTTAAAACCAAGCATTATAATCTGTCAGATCAAATCTATATCATCAACACTGTATTTACCAATAGTGACATTCGAATGAAATGTTCTTGTAAAGCTATATATTCTAAATATTTCATTATTTCAATCTCATAAATTGCAGTACTAGTTGTATTGTGATCAAAAGATGTCGTTGTCATTGCGAAAAATTATAGCATTCGTTAGCACCAATGGCTCAGATTACCTTCGTAGGCCTTTTTTAGATTTCTTTTAAGTAAGCGTAAACTTTAGCATCATTTGATGAGGCTAATCGCATATCATCTTTGTATTTATGAAATGAAGTAAAAATTAAACCCGCTTTGTTCCATACCTAATCAAATGCAGCCGCAAAACTGGTAATAATGGTAATAAATATATTAGCTATAATGATGTTAAGATCGAATTGTTAGCTATAAAATACAATGATTAGTTTGCAATAGCAAGCGATTTTCATACATTTTCATTGTTTCCCTCTTTTATTTCTATATTAATATTCCCTTGCGCAGTAAATTAAAAAAAGATTCACCTACCTCATGGTATTAAAGTTAAGTAAAAACATTGGATATCTTCTTGATATTTTAATGTTTTTTTGCTGATATCAGTTAATGAAAGATGGTAGATCTATGTGACTGTAGAATTATGCTGTACCCAGCAAACAGTTCTTAGCTAAGCAGAAATGTGGTGGTCAAATATCTAGCTTATAATTTCATTTCTGTGCCTATACAGTTGATTAAATATTTTAGTTATCCCTTCAATCAAGAGCTTTATGCTGTAATCAAAAAAGTGAAATGCAATATGAACATATTTCATAATGTATCCATACAGAAAATAGTAGTCATGTTTCATAAGTAAATCTTTTCTTTTAAGAATAGATTGACTTCCCTTATTTTATTATTTTATAAGCTGATCAATAAATCCACGTAAGATGTAAATGCACTCTACCCGCTATTTACAATCAAAATATTTCGTGACCCTTGGCAAAATTGCTGTAACTCAATTTTGATTAATAGATTTTGATTCCTCTTCCGCTGTTGTTTCCTTTTGATGGCTAATCAAATCTTCCAAGACATTGATTGTCATATGATCTAATTCGTTGATTAATATTTGCAAAGGTAAATTATTGGTTGCTTAATTATAATGGGAAGCATACTGATCTTACCTTGATGGATACAGTATTGCAAATAAAGTTGCGGTAAGTAATTATAACGTTGATATTAATTTAATTTTTGAATCAATAGAATCTAATTTACTGCAAAAGTAATTTTCTTAAAGTAACTTAAATTTAAATAGCTTTATACAATAGGATAAGGCTATGTTGATAAAATAATATGGAATTATAGATAGATACGGTTAGCTATTTATTACTAATGTGCCTATATAAGGATTATATAGACTAGCAATTCATTAAGCCAATACTCGAAATAAAGCTATAATCTTATCACCGTTTTTCCCTAATATTCACTAATGAGCAATTTATCAATGTCTGATCTATACTATATTAAAGTGAAGTTTAATTAAGAGCTATAATGAATATTTATTTAAATTATAGAAACAATAACAGTAGAAATTGCATATGTAAAATTTTGGCATTCCTGTTACATAATACTCATAGCTATGATTACAATATTATTGACATAAAGACTAAATTATATTATCCACTGAAACGCTCATTAACAACTCTATTTTTAACTTCCTTTGCTACTAGGGTATTTTTTTAGCTGGTGGTATTCTCATCTAAGAATAAATAAGCTCTGGTCGTTTTCTACGTGTTATTTAATAGCAATTATTCAATGACGAGTCGTAAACGTGATAACAGACAATAATGAGATCGAAATGTCTGAAAGGACGAAATTTCATGCTGCTTTGGATCAATAAATTTATCATATGTAGTTATTGTATAACCTTTACATCTATCTGATAAAGCCCCCAAATAGCTTAATTTCACCGGTCAGACGCTATTAATCATGAACGTACGCAATATAAAACATTAGAAATTGACCGTAATTTCCTATTTTTCTAATAATACTGGATCAATTAAGAAATTTTGGTGACACATTGTTCTTAGGATACTGATAATATATAATGATTTTATTCTACTGTGATTGATCTAGGGGACTGATAATCACCCGTAAATGATATTATTCAATATTTTCTAATTACAGCTTGATCTATTTTTTTATTGAATGAGTCTCTCATTCGTTCAGGAAATTAATTGTTACCTGACTGCATTAATGTCTAAAGTAGTAGCAACAACAGTTTGCATTAGCTACCACTATAATCACTTCTGCAATCATTATTCAATAGTACGGTATAGTTAACTATGGTGTAAGGCAGGTGTGATACCCATTAATAGTGAACAAATTTGTACTGAACGCAATACTGTAGATTAATAGATTACTATAAATGCGTATCAGTTAGTATTGATCATTAAATGGTAGCGGTCTCAATTTAATTAAATCCGTTGTGATGGTATATAATTAACATGAAAGATCAATATTAAAAGTCTTTAGAATATATTTTAAACTTTGGGGTATAGATTTTATGCATTTATACTTTAAAGATAAAAGATTCTCATATTGATCAATTACTACTAAAAAATTTCTATGTCGTTATCACTCCTGATTAATATCAACGAATTAATTATTTTATTCTGTATAGATTGGAGAGTAAATCGCTCAGCCGTCATCGATGTGTAAAACATTATTGGCTGCTTTAAATTATTCTGCTATTAGAAATTATATTTGAGTAATAAATCTAAATTCGTAGAAATGCTAGATAGATTGATAGATAGATATAGATGAAATAATATTGTACATATTAGGTAACAATAGAATTTTAATTATAATCTAAATCGGCTAAATTGACTCAGCACTTTAAAAATGCAGAATTAGTATTTTGAGTGTTTATACTTTATTAGTTATGATTACTCTTAAGACATTTAATGTGATTGATCATTAGATTTGAATCAGAACTGAAAGCATCACTGATTAATGTGTTTAATATAATCGGATGGCTACAGTTAAAGTTAATAAGCAAAATATGTTGATCAATAATAAGAAAAATGATAACAGTAATCGAAATGATAATAAAAGTCATTAATTATAGAACTCTTTTACTAAGCTGGCTCTAAACGTAGCTGTTACTACTATTTTAAGCTTTTATTACTTTTGGCTACTGTTAATACTAAACAAATCAACAGTGTTGTTAGTTACATAATAGATACTATCCCAGCAGGTGCATGTCCTGTAGATATTTACTGCTTACCGGTATCATTGCTTTATTGAATATTACACATGAAATGTTTTATTTTTCATCTGAAATCTTTTCTTTTTCTGATTGAAATCTTTTGACACCATTCTAATTCAGTCCAGTTCACCTACCGTTCTATTATTAACGAAGAGACAACCCCTACCGGCAGAGCTAATAACTATTGTATTCAAAGAAGATTGATTGTTTCACTGCATTGATTTATATTAGTGGCTACTCAATAAGGAATACTCTGTTAAAACTAACCTACTGTTTAATCAAATTTATACTCTTTCTCTTAATATCCCTTCCTTCCTCATTTTCATTATGGCATTATCCCTACATTCTATTAATTATTTGCTATAAATTGCATAGTCTACATTATTACTCTCTCTCTCTGTATTCCTGTCTATTTATTTCCTCAAATCTCATTCGCTTGTTTAGTTATTACCCAGCACCTTTGATTTGTAACAATTCCTATTTTAACAAATCTCCTCCCATCACGTCGCATATCACTTATTGGTTTTCAATGCATGTTTTTATATTCCGTTGATGTGGAATTTAATGCTTACCTTTGTAATTTGACATGTGAAAAAAATATTTAAATTAACGATAATTATCTTTATTGTATCATCGCATTTTCTTGCTTAATTTTCATATATTGTTCCTGAAAAAAATGGAATAATTATTATTGCAGTTATTCAATCTTTTATAATTAAAACAATTAATGGATAGAATACTCATCAGGGTAGACATAGCAATTATAGTTGATGAGGCTAATAATAGCAATAACTATCAACATTGTAATCGTAATTGTGCTGGATAGCAACTACCGTAAATTATAATATGACCTCCAGACAAGAATGATCTTGGCCCTGGCTTATTAATAAACGCCTATTTAAATACATGGCATAAGGGTAGCAAGTGCAAAATTTGTTTTCTCTGTTCACACCATTCAATTCTTCACCTTAAATACAAGTACACTCAAATACACATATAATCGTATGCACACATTCACTTTCTTTTTAACTTTCATCTTCTTCTCTCGTTGGTAATATTCTTGCTTTCCTATCTTATAGCGTAGCAGTTAAATTTCCAATACTACATATAGTCCAATTTCAACCTACTGAATTTTAGCAATTTTAACATCAGGATATCCTTCATTTTTTAATAATTTAGTCCATTTATCAACTTAGAGTTTTAAAAAATTGATCCAATCATATGTTGAAGCTGGCATCATGGCACTATGTAGGAGGAGAAGATCGTTTACAGTGGAATATAAAATTCAAGCCGTCAAATATTTAAGAGCTAATAACTGTAATGTATCTAAAACAGCGCGAGAATATGGTGTTGAGCGTGTTAGAATTCGAGAGTGGAATAAAAATTATGTTAAATTAGCCGCAGAAAATGAAGGCGATCGCAAGAAGAAACGTAAATTACATGTTGGTCGCCGACCTATATCTATCGATTTAGACAATGCTGTCTATGAATATTATAAGGATGAATTAGCCAATAATCGATTGGTAAGTAATAAATTGCTTAAAAAGAAGGCTTTAGAGTTAGCTAAAGAACTCAATATTAGTCAGACATTTCGAGCTAGTGACACGTGGTTGAAACGCTGGAAGAAACGCCTGGGGATATCATTGCATAAGTCGAACAATAGTAATTGTTAGGTCTCGATCTTATATCCTTGACCTCCTTATTTAATTCAAGTTTAAATCTCATATACATCTTAATTTGAAGACTTAGTCTGTGCGAACATGGTCATAATGATCCAATCAAAAAAATACTCATCTACATACATACTTATTGGGTTGCAAAGTCCAAGTCATACAATGTCCGTTTACTGGACTGATGGCAAATTGCAATGAGTTGAGCAACATAATGGTATTCGACATCGAAATGAAATAATCAATTTGTTGACATATTTTACTTGATGATGGTGATAATTACAATTGAAAATTTCTTGTGGCACGTTAAATTATTTAATGGACATAAATATCCTGCAGAGATTTTATAGCATTAATTAGCGCTATCTCGATTAAATAGACAAAAATATTATACTTAAAGGTGTAATAAATTAGTCAACATAGGTCATGAATGTAACATCTAGCGATATTGTACATGAGTAGGCGTTACGGCTATCATATCAGATAGTTCGTTTTTGCTAACTTCTATAAAAGTAACAATAGTAACCAGAAAAAATAGAAGAGAAATGAAATCAAGGAATCCATGATATCTAATTCAATGTTATATAATGACAAGATATCAAATTGATATTATAGGCCATATTGGAATTAATGCAATTTTTGATCGACTTGTTAATAGTATGCAATTACAAGGTATTATCATCGATAGCATTACCAAGCAAGTTAATTCTATATCTCAACAGCTAACTTTGCTAAGATTGCAGAGATTTAAGAACCTGTATGTGACTAGTTTTGATCACATTAATAGAGCAAAATGGAAAATGAAATTTGATTGAAACAAGGACACGTTGCACACAAGTATAAATATTATCTTAGATAAGAGGAGAAAGGGCGGATATTATAGACGTCTGTTTTGTCTTGAGAAGATTTTTTCGTCATAGGTAAGGTGGACGATGTATAATTAAAATAATGATGGTACTAGTCATACTAACCATTTCAAATGTTTTTACTTTCACTTTTAGCTTATTATTATTCTGTGAATTTCGATTATTTCGACTTGTCTGTAAAATTATTATCATTTCATTCTTAGCTTCATTTCTAATTTCAGTTATAGTATTATGTTGCTAAATATGGCTAGTTAATTTGTAATTTCCACAATGTGTCGACTACTGATGTTCTGTGAAATGAAAGAACAAAAAAATTGGATTTTTTATAATTATTCCAATTTTTTATTCGAAATTTTTAAGAAAAATATTATAAACTGATTGGAGTGGCTCTTCATTTGTGTGATTTTATTTCCTACTGTGCAGCTGACCTTGATATAACTTGATAACAATTCTATAATTTTAGGATATCTACACTGTAATATTAAATTTAATCAGATGTTAGCAAAAATAGCAAATGGTAATGACCAGTAATAATTTTCAATCTAGGTATTATTATACAGCAAATAATAGAGTTTTCGTATACTATCTATATGTTTAGTTATAGCTAAACAATCACTTTCAGCATAGGTAGAATAGAATAAACGACAGATGCATTGAAATCACTATAATAAAATACCAATAAGTCTGTCAATAGGTAACCTAGAACGTAATATGACATAAAGGTGGTCATAAAATGGTATGCTACAAAAATAGCCACTTTTTTATATCTTAATCAAGGTCAGAGGTTGATAAGCCTAATGTGAATGTGTTTTGAAAAATAGAAATTTATTATGGACATATTTAATCATCATATGAAATGTACAATAAAATTTGATTTATCTTGCCTATGAAACTTCTTTATTCAAAATTAGTAGTATGGCAGACATTGCGATTTTAATCGAAATTTAAAGCAAATATTGTACAGTGTACACTGGCATATGTAGTTTTGCAATTTATATCATTTCGCGGGTATGATTTTTTTCCAATAGAATCTGATAAAACCTTTTCAAGTCTTGTACCAATCTTTAAAAAATAAAATTAGGTATTTAGGACCGATATCTTTTTAGCATGAAGTCAAACTTAAATTGCCATTTGAATATACTGTATCTTCAACTGGTTTTGATTTATGTTGATGCTGTAAAGTAAAAAGATAATTATTATTATTATTGCTTGCAAACCGTACAAAACAAAAACGATTAAATTTGCTTTAGTATTTCATTTACTGATACCAAAACAAATCACTAGGCAGGCTCTAGAATGAGTGGCTTAACTGCAAGACCAACGCTATTATTGCATTTAAATTTTCACTGCTACAACAATAAGTAGGAATCATTGCAAATTCAATTCCAGTTGTGCTATATTTCATAAATGATACCATAATGCTTTCAACTTTTAATATTCATTCTCACACTCACGTAGCTTAATTTATTTACCTTCCATAAAGGAATACAGTAGCGATAATTTTGATATATTTTATTACTACTGATTTGCTTTAGTCCTTTATATCGAGTACTTTGATCTGATGTTACGAGGCATAGTCTCTTGGTAGAGAAAGAAATAGTGACAAAATTAGTTGGAACTACAATTAATTAATTTTTTGCTTAGTTAGATGATCGAAATTAATAGAACCATTCGCTCACGTTAATTGAGATAAAATTATTGAAGTTAAAGGTCAAAATGAACGAACTATAACGTATAACTAATAGAGATTTTGCTTCGTACGATTTTAATACTTTATCTTAAAAGAGTATCAAATGAGAATTATACATATGAATATTTGAAGTCAGTCTCTACTCTGTATTAAAGCTATTTATTGATACTTATAATATCGAACTCTACGCTAACGAAAAATCTTCTATATAAGCTGAAATTGATTTCTTTAACAGATTTATTAAAATTATAGATATATATTTATTTACTTAAAGAGTAACTTAGATAAGTATTTTGGCTAAATATCCTTAAAAAATTCCATATCAAACCATAGTTTTAACCGATTCGCGTGGTACAGTTAATGAGGTTAGGCTTCTTATACTGTAATCAGAACATCCTAAAAATGTAGCAATTTCGCTAACGACAACTGCTGGTAGGTAGAATTTTAATACGCATTGCATAGATATTGACTGTGTGATATTAGAACTTTAAATTAAAAATATTAAATTTGTCCAAGAATGATTTTCCATTTCTATTTCAGCTGTAAACAGATCAAAACAAAACGTACTGTTATTATCAAACTAAATAAGGAAAAAGACTTTTAATCTCTATCACAATGCGTTTCTTGGCGTTAAACTGCTAGGTCTAGTCAAAATAAATAAATTGTAAAGTATAAATAATTTTATGCAACTAGCAAGCTAATAGCATTTAATTGATCGTTACCGGTCTTACGGCTAAACGCTTATCCTTTGATGAAAACTAAAGCCTTTTTGCTCCGTTAATATCTAATAGTTCAAATTAATAAAGAAAAGCAGTAAAAATTCTTTCTTATCTTTTATTTATAACAGTTTCTCTGATATGAGCCCTTTTGGCTTCAGTTTGATAATGAAATAAATGAAAATTATCTACGTAATTACGTGATTCTGCATTGAGAAAAGAATGGTGTAGCTGATTCTATTGATGAATACAGCAATAAAATAAATCAGTGTGAATTTAAACTGGATATGTTAGCAAATTTAGTCTGGATAATTGTCTTAAAATAAAATATCAAACTTGACGTCTTGTTAAAATTTCAGTATAGAATATTACAATCATATTACTGTTAATCAACTATGATCGTGATATGGCTCAGTGAAAGAATTAAGAATACTGCCTGTCCAAGTTACTTATGACAACCTCATTGATCAAAAAATATTTATTAAGAGAGTATCATATTCATGTTTTCTCATCGCTCAGTATTTCATTCATATAAATAAAAGTAAATTACAATAACAAATATATTGCATTTTTTATGCAGACACGCTGTTAACAGTCTCCAACTACATATAAAAGCGTGATTTATTTCTTAACTACATTTCAATTCATAGAGTAGATTAACATATACAAATGCTAAATTAGCTTACAAACCAATTTAATTAAATTTCTATAATATATTAGCCTACATGAAGTAGTAATGATTGAGATAAGAATAGAAGAAAATGCGAACAATAGAGTTCTCAGATACTGTCTCCTGTTTAATCCTTTCATTAGTAGCCTGTGCGATACTGCAAAAAAACATCAATAATTGTACAGTAAACTGTATCGCCTCTGAAAAATTTTTATGAGTAGATTTTTGTTTATTTAAAAGCAAATTGCCTTGGCTGTGTTTGGATATGATAATCGGTATAAGGTATTAGTTAAATAATATTAGTATTCTTCGATGTTATGAAATTTACGATTTATAAGATGAGCTGTTTATATCTTTCCTCAGATATGGATATTATGTTTAAATTTGCGGTATAACTTTCCTGGTAATATTAGATTGGTTTTATAAATGGTGCACTGGTAAAGATAATAAATATCAATAAATAACCAAAACCAAACAAATATAGGTAAGATTTTTACGTCTACTATAAAATGTGGCGATTATTTATAAATTTATAAATTTCATCTTGAAGTTATTCTCCATCCTTAGGATACTTCTCAATTTTCTGATCAATTTATTAAGTCCACAAATTCTATGTTAAATAGCGCGTAATTCTACGCCGTTGAAATTTATTTTATTAAATCAGATTTTGATCTATATCAATTAATCGGAAATTATTAAATAAGATTAAATGAATAAAACGTTAAAGATGAAATTTGCTATGAACAATACAAATAATATATAATCAGTATCTAAAAGCAGCGCTGATAGTTATGGTGTTTCAATGGACTCTCTTACTTTTAAAAGCCCTTAATTATCGATACGAGCAGGGTATAGCTATGTATTACAAATTTCTTTCGCTTTTAACCAAAAGTCTGCCATCTGAAGTAAAAATAGCAGAAATAAATTGGCTTCCTGTTTTATTTAGTCTTGCCAATACGCGGTTGAAAGAGCCATTTTGGCTACATACTTACATTCTTGATAAAAGTGATTACTATTATAACTTATTAAATCTAGTGATCTGCTAAATTAATATTTATGAG